TAGAATCAAATGACAACTGAAAACAAAACGCACGGTAAGTGTACTCAATTCCTTTTCTGAAAGCGTTTGTAAATCCCCCCAGCGATCATCATACGATATTAGAAATTTCTAATTACTGTGCCTCATTATCAAATCATATTCAGGGCGACGAGCGCAAATGAATTTCAATGACATTCTTGTTCCAAATTTCTTGGTTCAAATCATAAAACTTTGAAGTAAACATGAACATGATACATGAACAACGAAATTGAGCCAAGGCATCGCGTTTTATATACTAGGTGTAAACGACGAAGAAACGATGGTTTGACGATGATTATACGAACGGATATATAATTGTTAAAACACTATTTAGATAAATACAACATCTAACACAGGGGTGACGAACCTATTTGTTATCGCAAACGAACAACAACAAGTTTATATATAAAAGTTTTAAAATAAATTTAATTTTTATTTAATTTAATTAATCGTGTGTTTAAAATATTGGCGCTTCCATTTTCTCTGTACATTTCCTGAAGGTTTTTGACTTCACGCCAAATATACACTGAATCGCCTGAATGCTTTGCGGGTCGCACGAAATCTTCGGTGGATTCTTCGGGGCTCCGTGAGATGTTTAATAAAATTTGACAACGGTAGCATCGAAATGCGGTAATTAAAACACGACATGATCTATATCAGGGTGTTGTGTTGTTGCGAGGTTGACGGGTTGCCATAACTTTTGGGAATGTCTCGCGGGTCGCAGTCGGATAAAACCCAAAATTGATCAAAATATCGCGAGTTTACTTACTTTAAAAATCAAGAACACTATTTACGAATTCCGAGCATCATTGTGCGGGAAGGACAGTTGTTTGGCTGTTTGACGCATTATATTGAGAAATCTGAAGACATACTTGCGAACGTACACAGCTTAGGTACGGTAGATAATTTATGTGAAAGGTTGCCGGGCTCCTCACTATTGTTATGTCTATTACGCATTTGACCACTGAAGACATATCTGCGGATGTGAACAGATCACTTATAGATAACATATGTGAGAGATTGTTTGACTCCTCACTATTGTTATATATGAGTCCACTTCAGAGAAAAATAAAATATTTGAAAAGTATATCATTCGATAGCAATTTTTCAACGTTGAATACTCGACGCAAGAGTCTTGCCATTGAACTGACTGGATTCATTATGTGTGATGCTTCAGATTACCCTTTCTGTTGAAACTAGAAAATAAGTATTTTCATGAGACTGACTCGCGGCCGGCAAAAATATTTTTAAAAAGTTCTTTGTAAAACTCTTTGTAAATCAATATTTATGACTTATATAATTGAATTACCAATAAATTCATACAAGCGATACAGCAGATGGATGGTATTTGCTTGCATACAATATTCGTATAGCGACATGATGCGCAAAAGGTGAAGTTTTAGATAGTGTATCGATAATGGGATTTTATGAAAACCAACTAAAGAAAGATCTCAAATTTAAAAATTTCAGTCTGTGACGCACTGAAAATATTACAAAGTAGCGGTAGACTGATAACGGAACAAAGTATTCAAATAATTGAATTTGGATTTATTGCCCACTGTTGAGAGTAAATACGATTGAAATATGTCTTTCTTATTTTTTGCGATGTGTAACTTCCAAAATGCAGAATACCCTATTGCAAAAACCACGAAGATGTAAATGACATTATTTTGATGGCCTAGAATACAGCATTGAATTAGATTTGTAAGCAGAAAGTCAAAAATCTTTCATCCCTGAGGAAATCAATGCTTGGTTTGTAAAATTGTCTACACAAAGACTGCGACTATTGAAAGCGCTTTATACACTCGTACTCGTACATTCGTATCACCACATGTTCCTAACGTTCCACTCGTATCATTCTTGAATTGGTAGCGTCACGTGTTCTACTTTTGGTTCACTTGTATCATTTGTCTCATGCGTCCAACACCACACACAAATGTGGGATAAATAGGACTGGGACACGATATTTTTGAGATACCACATGAAAAGCTGTTAAATTGGAATACATTTGGTAGTTTCATTCGGTTATTTTGTTTTCATATTATACATGCGAAGCTCTTGGACCCTAAATCCTTCTACTCGACCACGAATTAACCCCCGATTAGTTACCACTCAGTCGCAACCTATATATTTTATTCATTATTGAAAATGTCTATTTTATGTTATAGGCTGTAGTGAACAAGCTATGGGCTTGGCTTTGTGCAGCTTTTTAACACGGAGTGACGTTTTCCGCTGCAGGAAACTCTGTGTCTTGCTAAGTGGTAAAATTATCGATTGTCAAACTAGAAACCATCAGACAATGAAATCACCGTCACTCATGTTCCAAGTCTTACTTACATGTGCTACTCCAGCGTTTCTAAAAGTGGGCGAAAGAAATAAAATAGGGGGCGAAAAATGCGAAAGGGCGATTGCTCATTCTCGAATAGTCAAATATGTATGACGACCCGTGTTTTATCTGTTGAATGATGTCATGTGATATTTTTCCATATTTAGTATTTTGGTATTGGGGACACTGGGGGCGCTGTGACACTGTCAATCGTTTTTTTTTTTAGGTGTGGCCGGTTGGCGTGTGCTGTGGGTTGGCAGCAGTGTTCCCTCTAAGGTGTGCGCGTGTGCGCGCGCACACAGCTTTCAGAGGGTGCGCACACGCATAGATTTACTGCGCACAGACGTATTTCGATGTAATGTAACAATGTTCTCTGTTGGCAGGTTGAGAAAGTTTGTTGTTGGCCCACTTATTACCCCGTTAGAACGCCGAAATTTCTTCATTAGTTTTTGCACAAATATTAGTCATTTCCAAAAAAGTGCGCACATACCAAAATTTCTGCGCACACATACTACAAAAAAAAGAGAGGGAACATTGGTTGGAGAACAACAACAGAACAACGTCTGCGGGAGTGCCTCTGGTCTTCGGTGGGTTATCGGGGATGATTGTCTGTGGTTGTGTGATTGTTGGATGGGGATTTGTTTGATGTTTTGTGCTGAACAGTGGGCTGATGTTGGGATCATGTTGTGGTATAAGTGCGATGCCATTGCAGTTCATTTGTGTTGTGATTTTCAGTTTTATCATGGAATTAGCTATCATGTATCATATCAGTACTGTTCAAATGTTGTGCACATAAAGAATTGTTTATGGTCTTTTAAAATGCCTGTCATAAAGTATTTGCAGCCTATTTGGCAAATTGTAGTAGCTCGTTTAGTGTACCGGATTCTAGGGGTCCGTTAGCTTCTATTGAGAGCGTCCTTGACTTCAGGGTCCGTCAGTGTTTTTATTGTGTATATGGTTTTTCTTGCATTGTGGTGCCTAGTATTGTTATTTATATTGTATGCTTTCCATTGCTTTGGAGAGTTTGGTTGTATTAAGACTGATAATTAATAAATAAAATAAAAAAGCAAAAAGTGAAGTGAATATTGGGGAGAAACTTGACGTCAGATCATATTGGAAGATATTCTGAACTTGGATAATTATTTCATAGACTGTGGGTACGCTACATATGGTTAAAATCGCCGAATGTTTTCTTCAGCATGACGTGGATATTTAGGCTATGAACATCGGGGTTATATCGGTGACCCATATTTCCGTAAATTCTCACTATCTCACAAGTATTCCCCTGCAAATGTGCCAGAGGACGTCGATAAAGATTTTTTTATCGCCCGGAACTGTGCGTGAAGTATGATACAACCTCTGGATTGAATACGCAAATCCAATTTCCACTGAAAATTGAGGAAGTGAATACTAAGAATTAAAAGCGGTGTCATAATATATATATATATATACAGAAAATTTGAGCAATGCGAATAAAATATATTTCATTCAAACTAGTTCATTCAAATGTTACTGAATCAGGATATTTTATGTGGAACTGCCACAGATTTGTATCGTCACAACATGAATTGATTTTTTGCGTGTATCCTGTGCGTCCTCTGACTCAGAGAATCTTCACCCAAATTATAAACAGTTCATTTTGACGTAAAGTAAACATAGAAGGATAGAACAAAACAATGAGTAAGATTCTACTCAAGAACAATGAAATGAAAAAGGGCCTTGGGAGGCATAAAAGCAGCACAATAGAATATAGACTATAGCAGCATTCACATTGCAGCTATGTGAACAACAGTTCATTCTATTTTTGGTTGTTTCATTGAAATAAACTTCTAATTTTTGATAATATAGTTGAGATGTTTTGAATAAGGCGTTTTAAAGAACCTTTGTTTGATACATATAATACAGATGAACTTTTATACAAAGCAAACCCATATACGAACAACACGTTTTCCTATTTGTTACAGGTAAATTAGAAAAATCACGAAGCGTTTATGGTCATAATGAGCATGATTTCAATTGTTGAATTACTCTTACTATTGTCATCAATTGCACTGATAACAAATGCAAGTCAGTTAAAGAAAAGCTGTATTTCAGAGGGCATGGAAATCGATGCTGGAAAGGTACGGTGGAGATGAAGATAACAACTCAAATTGAGACTAAATTATAGAAGTGTGTTGAACCCACTTGTTTTTGCTGATTTTAATGAAAAACATGACTCTTTAAGTTAATATTAAAGTAATTACTCCCAATTCGTTATTAGTCAAAACCATTTTTGTGTAACTAGTATTAAATTCTAATCAACCAATGCTAACATACACCGTGTTTCCCAAATATAAGACAGGGTCTTATTTTAATTTTCTTTCGAAAAATAACACTAGGGCTTATATGGGAGGATGCCATTTATCAAAAACAAAATTACGAAGTAGAAAATTACGAGATTTTCAAATATACAAAATATGAAACCCATTGAAACTCATTGAACCTTTTCCTTTCTCACGCGTTTTAGTTTAACCATTTGAAACGTGTAAGAGAGATTTCTTGCCTTCGATTAGGTCAAAACAAATTTCACGCTATCGGCTAGATCTTATTTCAAGGGTAGGGCTTGGATTAAAATCATTTTTAAATTTGGGCTAGGTCCTCTTTTCAGGCTATAGGACTTATTTTCGGGGAAACACCGTAATTTAGGATTTTCCCCATTTTGTAGTTATCAAAAACTACGTGGTATTCTGGACTGATGAAACAACGTCTAAGGTCTCCAAGTTGTTTCAAAGGAAAATGGGTCCAGGTAATTATTTGAAAACAAAAAGCAAAATCTACAGAGTATAAATGTGTTACAATAAGTAAAATATTGTTGAAAATAGCTAAAATTAAGAATAAATTATTTACCTATAGTGATTCTTCTACATTTTCATATGTTGTTTAAATTACCAAATCTACCTGAGAACTCGTCCAAGAGTTACGAGTCTAAATCCTCGGATCTGATAGCATACTAATTAATAATGCTTTCCAATAAATTCTCGAAAAAACAATTATAAAATTAGATAACAGGTTGCATAGAAGGACAATTTTTTTGACACCGTTTTATTTGCCAGATATGTTGAATTTGAATTTCATGTTGACTATGAAGGAGATGGAACTTATCATATTAGGAAATCAGACGATGGTAGGTTGTGCACACAAAATGTATCCCAATTGAATGCTTTCAAAACGTCGTGGAAAGTTATTGATTAGCATAACAATGAAAAGTACTAGTAAACTCTTTTATTATTTTCCTTCTAATTTAAGACATTTGTTAATTTTTTGACACAAATTGAACGTTTGCAGAATTTATTCACCTCGAGCACGGAGAGGAAATGAACGGACTTGCGAATGAAGCGGTGTCAAATATGGGTAAAATTACTAATACATGTACATATATAATATAATATTCGATATATAGATAAATTATTATTCTTGTGTTGGTCTGCAGTTAAACTCATTTAATTCTATTTGTTTTAATCAGACAACCTTTTAGACAATGCAGCTATAGTTTTTCTTTCTGACTACGAAAATTATTTTGCGGCTTTGTTATGTCCACTCGACAAAGGTATGAAAACTTATATCAAACTTTTCAAGTACTGGAAGATATTGTAAATTAAATTACCAAGTCGAAGTATTTGTTGTTGCATCATGAACTAGTACAAATACCGGAATATAAATACTCCCTCCATTGAGTTCAAACGTTTGTTCTCTACCCATTGTGGACATGAACAGCAGTCTCGTTTTGCCTTAGCTATATATATATGCAAGGTCTGGTGATATCAGAATCTTATCGAAAAAACTTGTGTGCTTTACTTTGTTCAGATCATCAGGTGATTCGTGGATCCAAATCCAACTTTGTGACAGGTTGCAGCCTTCATTAACGTCTTGCATGATGTCGCAAATTTTCTCCTTCAACATGTCCAGAAACTGACTGAAGTCATTATTTGAGCTAACCAACTATTATTTATCAATGTTAGTTACATATCTATATATATATATATATACTAATTTCATCAACAGTCCTCGATGTTTGCTATTATTCAGAAAATTGTATTTTAAAAAATAACGCTGATTACGTTGTTTTATAATTATCTAAATATATTTTATCACACCCGTATATGAATGAAAATAATGACTAACTCGTAACCTGTAAGATAATATCACTATTTGACAATTTAGCCATTGATAAAAAAAATGCTAAAAAATACGTTAAATATAATTACTATGACCAAATTTGTTGTTAATTAGGTTTTGATTTGGTTTGGGTATTTTGAGAATTTCGAAAAGTATTGATATTACGTAAAGCGAACTCGCCACGAATTAGCTTGGCTTGGGACAAGATTGTGTTGTCAGTTTAGTTCATGCGATGTGACTGCTATACGTTTCTTAATATAGACGCCGTCGGTAAAAAGTAATGGTCAGAAGGATTGGCAAGATTTACACACAAGCCATTTACAGATTCTCACTTCTCTTTTTATTCACGTTTCTATTGCAAAATATAATAATAGTTTTAAAAATTCGAAATCTTCTTTACGGTCGATAGAGTATAGTCAATGATTCGAGAAAATTCATTCCAGTATATATACAAGCTCTTATCCTCTACGTTCATAATGGTCTCCCGGCAGCTTATGCATATACGTACGGTTTCACAAAACATTTTTATGCTTTCGAGTCTTATTCCTCTGTTTTAAATCATTCCTATTTTTACATGTCAATTTGTCGTACTATTTTCAACTTGACAAGCTGGATATTCATCAAGTACATCCGCTTGCTGTTGCCAACCTCCGTTTTTTTTCAGAGCTCCAGAAGTATATGCACCAAGATAGCGCACATCCTGAACATAGTATTTGTACCAGGTTTTGATTCAGGTTGTGCGCCATCTAGGTGTACATACTTCGAGAGCGGCGTTTTTTTGATCCTGCTTAAATATAATTTTCTCAAAATATTAAACCACATTACAAAATATCATTTTGTTTTAAATTTTAGCATGAATATCAATCGAAAACAAATTTAGCACTTTGCCTTAGCCATGATCCATCACAATTATATATACCAGCTTGTCAACAGAATTTCGCAAGTAAAACCAGAGCCAACCTATTTTTAGAATGAGAGCTAAAAAATGACAAAGTTATTAGTAGATTATCAGTAGCATTGTGCATTTCTTTATGTTTATATATTTATTGGTATTCGTTATTCACCATATACTTCCTTTTCATATAGGGGGTAAATTATTATTTACTGATAGCCTAATAAACAAATAGTGATATATAATTATCTATGATTTACCCTATGTGGGATACCTTGTGACATCAAGATGCCAAAGATCAGATGCCCAATCAACGAATGTGAATTTGAAACAGAGGATGAGGCCTCTATTGTTGCTGCATTGCTGAATTTACACGCTACCACACACAGCGCACAAAAAAACTCAACAACCCACAACCAAGTTGAGAAAGTAAAACGTCCAACCATCACATCTGCTAGCTCAACTGAAGAATGGACATATTTTGAATCAAGATGGACAGACTACAAAGCTGCCACAAAAATATTTGGCCAAGACATAATTTTCCAACTATTGGAATGCTGTGAGGATCCACTGCGCAAAGATCTAACTCGCACCTCACCTAATCTTACAGGAAAATCAGAACAAGACATACTGAACGCTATCAAAGGAAAATGCCATGATCGCCAGAGTCAAGCTCGCCAACATGAAACAAGACAGAGACGAACCAGTAAGAAACTTTTGGCGCCCGCATTCGTGGCAAGCGACAGTCTGCAAGCGACAGATTTCCCAGTCCACAGACGCCATCAGCTCATATCGAAAGGGGCGCATTCAAGTCAAGCCCACATCCGATAAGATGCAAGCCACATGTACTTACTGCGGAGAAACAGGACACGGCAAAAGTTCTCCACTGAGAATCAAATAACGTTCCTGTCCTGCTTTCAATCAGACTTGCTACCACTGCTTGAAACTACACCATTTTGAATCAGTTTGTAGAGGCAAAACATCGTCAAAAATGGTCAAACCATCACAGGAACCTGATGATATGGAGAACTCTATGTCCAATTCATTACGCTCAGTTTACAAGAATTCATCCAACGGAATGGCTCTGGACCACCACCAATATGTGCCAAAGTTGGGAAAAACGCAAGTCAGATCCACAGCTATTTTTTGATATTATGATCGACATACTGCCATCTGACTTTGCTAAATTGCGGTTTAAAAAGAATTTCAAACCCCAACAACAATGACTGCGACCAATAACAAATGGATACATATCCTTGGCGCCCTAGTTGCAAGATTTTCAGGAACAACTGATAACGGGAAAATAGTTCGTTCCCGTCAGATCATTTACATTACGACAGCTCGGACAAGCTGTTCTTGAGCAGGAAAGCATGCATTGAACTTGTTTAATTTATCAAAGATTGGCGGAGTCAACAGGGAAATGACATCAATTAACATGACGGAACAAAACTTTGACAGGGACTAAAAATGGTGACATATAAATACTGCACATGTCCCCGCCGCAAACTTCCCCCACCAATCCCAACGTCGTTACCATACTCGCCGAATGGGGAAAACCGACAGAAGCTACAGGAGTATCTAATCGAATAATACAAATCTAGCACTTTCAACACCTGCGAACACCAACCGCTCCCTATATGATGGACGGGCCGCCAATAAAACTTATGATAGACCCTGAAGCAAAGCCTGTCGTTCATCACACACCAGTACCAGTACCCCTCCACTGGAAAGAAGAGGTAAAAGCCGGCCAAGACAGGGACACTTATAAGGACTATAGGATATTGGGTAAACTATCTGCTTTTGGTTAATAGATTACGTGTTTAAACTTAGTCCACTCTAATCGTAAAATTAGAAGTAATATCTTATGTCATAAAATACGTAACAATTAGACGTACTGTAGGGCAGGGGTCCGCAACTACGGGACCCAAATTTGGGACGCGAAACCCCCGCTCTGGATCGCGAAACAATTTAAATTTTCCATAAATATGAGCATTGCGTCTGTGTAGCGTATTTATGTATAACAACTTTATAAATCACTGATTATAATTATGAATGTTTCCCCGAGTATACACTTCCTTATTTACTGTCGTAACATTGGCCAATCAGCATAATTGCAAAAATGAAGTAACAATAAACGTTTCAGAAGCGCTCAGATACTTTTTCCATTCAGACAGTCTTTCGTGGTTGTGGATATTATCTCGTTTTGGCAATTTTCACGTGTTGTTTGTTAGTTTTTAGTTGTGTTTTGGTAAATATACGTCTTAATCAAATAACTAAGTCCTAATTCTTGAAATAAGAACCAATAATTTTGCAATGGTAGAGTGTAGATCCAAGAGGAAGAATTCAAGAGATCAAAAGTCGAGGAAACATTCGTTACTTAGTTGTTCGCATTGTTACATCCTACTACGTAGACTTTGGGTTTTCAAAATGCTCCGTACGCACCCTCAGGACTCCGTTAAAGACACTTAGACCTCCGCCTATACTATTCAGTACTATTATTTACTACCCGATCGCCACACTGAACTTTACTATCTTGCGACCAACTTCCATGGCTTAAACTGGTCGTGTATGCCAATGAGATGATTCAATCGTACGTCGACAAAACAGGATTGACGGCATTCGTATAATATGTAGGCTGGAATCTCAAATGGTAAACAATTACCATAATTGACAGTTTAAAAATGTGTTACTAATTGGGCTACTGATGGTTTCTTGCTGGGAATGACAGTTTTCTAAATTTCAACAAGCCGTTTTATGCCTTTAATAATTTGGCCATGTCGTGAGTCTTGTGACAATATGATGCCGATCCGAAATGAGCAATAGTGCTCCTGTTCGTATAAAGTATTTTTCTTTGACATTTTATAGTAAAAGCTGCGTCCTTTGCAGCTTCATAAGTTTCAGATAAGATAAGCTCAATTTTGGGACTACACGCTGGATTGGAGGGCAGTTGGCAACGCTAGCTACGACAAAACATTTCATGTCTTAAAAATAGTTTTGAAGGAATTACACTCACTAAGCGACTTATATTTTTGACTGTTTTGACTATTCAGCCTCCCCAGCCACGTAAAAAAATTGTGTATATACAACAAGGATATGGCAGAACATTCGTTG